CATCACTATTAGAAATAATTCATTTCATTGTGATTTAATTACGATAAGAATGCAGAAGGATTTTATTTTCATTGGAGAATCATGCCTTCAAAATGTTTTGCAGTGAGAGAAGATATAAAGCAAATTTAATGTTGACTATCTATTGCAATTCAATTATTGCAAATGCCTATGGCATTGTATTGGTTTACAGAATTTTCGCTTTTCATATTATTTTTTTCTCCTTACCCTTTCAACCCGTCGAAATTTCTTCACCGTGCTACTGCCTATTATCCGTGGGTTTTTATCCTTGCAACACAGGGAATATTGCCATTTGAGGAAAATATTAGTTGATATTTTGTGAGCAAGCTATCCAGTAATATAAATCCATAGCTAATTTTAAATTAAATAAATCTTTTCTTTCTGAAGTAAGTACGCAAGTTGAACGCATGACATTATAAGGTATTTCTCCCGACTTCTTCGCATGCCTTCGGAGTGTGTGGTCAGCACTCTCGACGCGTATCGAAAGGTCGGTGGTGTTTCGAGTCTAAGCGAGGGCATTGCTAATTTTTAATGTCTCCTGAGTCTCTACAGTGGCGCCGCTAAAATGATGATTCTCCACCACCAGGATTTGGCGACTGGTCCCCTAATCTCAGTCGCCCTTTAAAAGGGAGTATGTAGGATTTCTCCCCTTCCTAGCATGCCTTCGTGTGTAGTGATCAGCCGCTCGGCGTACTGGAGAAATCCGTGGTTCGAGTCCGGGCAAGGGCATTACTTATTTTTCCTGGCTTCCAAATAACCTAATGCGCTACAGTGGCGACCGAACTAAAAAAGCGGTGGATGATGATTCTCCACCACCGATTTGGCGACTTGGTCCCCTATCCCCAGTCACTCTTTAAAGGGGAGACGTAAGGTATTTCTCCCCTCTAGATGCCTTTGGGGTTGATCAGCACGCTCGGCGCGGACTTGAGAATCCGTGTTCGAGTCCAGGCAAGGGCATTGCTTATTTTTCATGTCTCCTGCTTCATGAAACCTAATGTCCACAGGGCACCCAACTAAAAAAAAAAAAAAGCAGTGATGATGATTCTCCACCACCGGGATTTGGCGACTTGGTCCCCTCATCCCCAGTCGCCCTTTAAAAGGGGGAGTATGTAGGGTATTTCTCCCGCCTACCTAGCATGCCTTCGTGGTGTAGTGATCGGCACGCTTAGCGCGTACTGGAGAAATCCGTGGTTCCAGTCCAGGCGAGGGCATTGCTCATTTTTCATGTCTCCTGCTTCCAAATAACCTAATGTCTCTACAGTGGCGCCCGAACTAAAAAAACCAGGCGGTGGATTATGATTCTCCACAACCAGGATTTGGCGACTTGGTCCCCTAATCCCCAGTCGCCTTTTAAAAGGCTAAGTATGTAAGGTATTTCTCCCGCCTTCCTAGCATGCCTTCGTGGTGTAGTGATCAGCACGCTCGGCGCGTACTGGAGAAATCCGTGGTTCGAGTCCAGGCGGGCATTGCTCATTTTTCATGTCTCCTGCTTCCAAATAACCTAATGTCTCTACAGTGGCACCCGAACTAAAAAAAAAAGCGGTGGATGATGATTCTCCGCCACCGGGATTTGGCGACTGGGTCCCCTAATTCCCAGTCACCCTTTAAAAGGGGGGAGTATATAAGGTATTTCTCCCGCCTTCCTAGCATGCTTCGTGGTGTAGTGATCAGCACGCTCGGCGCGTATTTGAGAAGTCCGTGATTCGAGTCCAGGCGAAGGCATTGCTCATTTTTCATGTCTCCTGCTTCCATATAACTTAATGTCTGTACAACGTTAGTTTATGATGAGAATAATATCACCACAAGAAAATTTTTTTTGCCATTTTAAATACTTCATTTTAAATTTAAGATTTTATTTTCTTCAGCTTAAATTTTTGGAGAAATAATTTTTAAATTGTAGATCGTATAGTAACTAATTTTTAAACTATAGAATATATAGAAACGAATTTTTAATATAGTTTATGTAGTAACTAATTTTTTGAACTATATGCTATAGTTTATAGCAACTGCTTATTAACAAATGTTAAACTGATGAGCTGAGGTTGCAGTTTCTTTTTAGTTATATGATATATATACAGTTTTTTTAAAACATTTTTGTAAATTTAACGGTCATTTCCACTAGGTGCGACACTGTATTTTGAAATTTTCAGATTTCATTGTTTTCCAAGTTTTTGAACTTTAATTAATGAAAGTTTGAAGTGAAGAGTTCATTAATGAAAGTTTTTAACTTTTAATTAATGAAGTTGTTTAATTAATGAAAACAATATGAATTGCTTTTAAAACATTTCGAAAGCTTTTCATTTATTTCTTTTGTGTCTTTTACTAATTTCTTTCCTCAGCTAGTCGTTATGGATTAAAGCTTAAAGCTACAATTTCAGATAATTCAGCTGAAATACACTGGTTATCATAAATTAAGGAAAAATCACAAAAATTGCGATAACTCTCCGAAAAATAAGCCAAACCGTGTAAAATTTGAATATGTTGCCAAGTAAGTGTAGCTGAGTAAAACTCCAGTATGCAAATTAGTGGCACTGCACTCGGAATACGTCACCTGCGAGGAGCATAAAAGTCCATGTTTGAGAGCAAGCCCGCATATTTCACTGTGATAGTGACATCAGAAATCTGAGATAGCCAATTCGTAACAATGATCTCCAGGCATCATTTGCCTGCAGAACTACGATAGAAAGCAATTGGGAGACTAGAGGCAGGACACAGACTCTGGAGGCAATTTCAAATCACAGATTCGGCACCTAGGAGGTTCAGCCAAGGACGGCCAACTGCTACGACGAGAGCCGATGACCGATATTTGACATTATGTGCACTCAGGAATAGAACTGCTACTCCAACTCTTCTTAGATGCTCTCTTGCTGCAGCCACCGGAAGGTTGGTGTCAACGTCAACTGTGCGTAGAAGGCTTCCCGAAGGTGGTCTGTATGGCGAGGCGAACAACCATTTGCGTGCCGCTCAGGTCACGCCAAAGAAGGGACCTTTTGCAGTGGACACAACATGTGCACTGGACGCCTGAGCAATGGCGGGCTATTCTCTTTACGGATGAGTCCAGGTTTAGTCTAGAAAGCGATAGTAGGCGTAATTTGATATGGAGAGAACACCTGGAACCTGTTATCATCCGTCAAACATCCGTGAAAGAGATGCATACGGAAGAGGCAGTGTCTGTGTTTGGTGTGGCATCTCTTTGGGTGGACGCACAGACCTCCATGTTTTTCCAAAGGGAACCGTGAATGCTCATGTTTATAGAGATGACATCCTTGATGCTTATGTGCGCCCATATGCCGGGGCAATAGGTGATGCTTACCTGTTACAGGACGACAATGCAAGACCACACTGGGCAGGCATCGTATATGATTCTCTTAAACAGGAAACAATTATGCGCATGGAGTGGCCAGCTCGATTCCCAGACTTGAATCCTATCGAGCACGTTTGGGATGCTTTAGGGAGACGTCTAGCTGCTCTCAATCCACACAATCAGACCCTTGTCGCGCTTGCAACTGCTTTGCAAGAGCAATGGCTCGCGCTTCCTATGGAACTGATAGACCGCATAATGGAAAGCATCACACATCGCTGTATGTGCTGTATTGCTTCTAGAGGCGATTATATTCCATATTGAAGGTACTTTTCCTATAGCAAACTGACATCTTCGATTTGTTCATTTTATACATGCGCTAATTTCTATACTACCATAATTGTCTGGTAATTTCTTTTTATGTTATTTGATACCTTACTATATGTTGTATATTGTGGGTAAGTTTCATAAAATTCTACATGTAACTTTTTCAGTAATCGTGATTTTTGTGATTTTTTCTTAATTTATGATAATTAGTGTATATAATAGTTTTTAGAAGCACAACTTCCTATTATAATTAATTATTTAAGATATCAACTGGTTATACTTATATGTACTACCTATTTGCGCAATTAAATAACGATTTATCTTCACAAATTTTCATTTCTTCAATTTATATAAATTTTAAATCATTTTAATATATTATGAATGATTGCAAGGGAAATTAATAAACATGACACGTACTTAGAATTTAGCTGTTATTATATCGGCCAAAACTAAGGTTAACAATTTATTGAACATTATTTCACATTCTTTCAGATATTTCTTAGTTAATTACTGAATTATGACAGTCTATGATCATCAACTTACATATTTAAATTTACGCATAGTGTTATTATTAATATTGTTGCTAATTTTGCACGCATATGTAAATAATTTTAGCGAAAATACATGTAAATTGTAGTATCGCTTGTAATACTTCACCATGTACTAATGGTGAATGTTGAACATATAAGAATATTATATTTTCTTCTCCGTAATTCAGTCGCGAATAAACGCACTTGAGACTCGAAATAAGAACTTAAGAACAGGAGAACCTAAAACACACACAATACATTCAAAATGAGAAAGGAAAATAATAGAAGTTAAAAACTTACTTAATTATACAGTACGTTCTAAATGAGAAAATAAAATAACAGTCATAAAAATCTTACTAAATTATGTGATTCAAATCTTATTGATTGCAACAACTTAAACTATTATGGCCCTTTATGACCTCTCTTTTCGACTTTTACCAGAGCATATCTGTGATTGACGACGTACACCGGTGAGGGTCCGAATATACAAGAATGTAGTGAAATATTCGGTCTTTCACCGGCGTATTTGGTGAATGTTGATATTCTCCGGTGAAAGTCGACATTCTCCAATTTCGGTCTTGTACGGTAACATATGTACGGCCTTGAAGCTTAGAGGTTTTTAAAGTACTTCTAAGGGCCAATGGCTTGCATTTGCCTTGTACAGGAAAATAGTCACGAAATCTCCCAAGTAGACTCTGCGATTTGCAACAAAACAAGCCTAGAGAAAAACTGAATGAAAATAAATTAGCAAAGTATTGTCTACAGTCATTTACCTGTTGATTTCTAACTGTTTCTTTCTTTCTTTTTTTTTTTTTTTCTTTCAGGCTTTATGAAAGCCATTATTGCATGGAAATGCCCCCAGACTTTTACAGTTCCAAATGGCAAAGTGATGTTTCAATCAAGAAGCGGTGTTACTGCAGTTTTCACATGTGACAGTGGCTTCACTTTACGAGGAACAAATGTTTCACATTGTCAGACGGATGGGCACTGGTCCGCATCTGCGCCAACTTGCGTGCCAAACGGTAAATATATTCTATTCTTAATTTTCATGGCACTTACGTATTATCCCATTGACAGGCCAAATAGCGCGATTTAGCACCAATTATGAAAGACTGTATCCTTTAGAATTCCGCAGTAACGTCTGGCTCTTGGCGACCGTTGCGCTGAAATTTCTGCCAACAGGCGACTGGATAATACGTAACATTTTCATTTCGATACATGTGCAGTGCGTTAAATAAAAGCAAGTCTTAAGAGTGGTACTTTAATACTGTAAGACTGCACTTATTTATATTGCACTACACTTTAGTTTAAAATTTTTATCCGCAAACAAAACATACAAAGTTTTTGAAAATTGTAATCTGAAAATTTCAAATTACAGTGGAATACGTTGAAGAATTTACCGTTGAAACTTCAAGAACTTAAGGGGTGTTGGAACCCCAAAATCTTCAAAAAATTTTGATTTCGGATTTTCGCATTTTCAAATTCTCTACACTTTTATCTTTCTAAAAATACCATTCTTTAATCTCTATGAAAGTTAGAACTGTAAAAAAAATCTAGTTTTAATTTGTCATCGACTGCTTTTATCAATGAGGATTTTTACATAAAAACGCATTTTTCTCCAAACGTGATTTTTTTATACTCGCATGTATCTTTTCTCAGGAACGACTGCTCACATTTTATTATCTAAACTTTTTATGGCTAACATTTTATGGGTTATTTATTAGGTTCCTTGTTATGTTTACTGAAATGAGCTTTTTGTAATAAACTTAGAAAAAAAACCTTTAATTTTTAAAATTTTTGTGTGAGAAAAGTGCTAAATTTTACTATGCGTGACAAAATATTCTGTAATTTACTCTAAATTCAAAATGTTTTTAAAAGCTCATTTCAGTATAATCAGATAGGTATACTTTAATTACAGAAAAAATTTCAAGCTTGTATCTACAGCAGATTTTGAGAAAAGGTACATCGAAAATGGCCAATTTAACATTGTCGGTATAGGGGTTTCTGATACCCTTTAAAAAAATAATATTTAATAATATTAAAAATATAAAAATCGTAAGCTTTATACGCAAACACCAGTTTAATATTTGAAGCAGTATTAGCTAAATAAAGACAAGAAGACTGTCAGTTCAAGAATTAATTTTCAGAAATTCAAGGTATGAAACATAAAGTCATTTATTCAAAACGAGCTGTTCAAAATAACAGTACCAGATAACACAACATAAAAATTACTGCAGTACTATTTCAACATAAATGAAATCCATATGGAATCTTGTGTACTTTTTCAATAAAGAAATCACTTAATTGCTCAAGCCGTAACAATGTACCATTTTCATTGAATCATTACCGCCGGTGGCTTGTAGTAATTATTTATTTCAAGTGAAGTAGCAATGCTTGGTACTCTACTGTTATAAGGACAGTATTCAGATTGGTTTGGTTTGGTTTGGTTTATTTAATTATGGCAAAGCACACTAGGGCTATCTGCCTAAGGGAAGGGATGCCTTCGTGGAGGACTTCCTAAGGGAAACTGACTCGTATACACGTTACACATGGGGAAAACCACGAAAACGCCCATGCAGCCAACCCGTTCGGGGGTTTCGAACCTCGGACCGCACTACCAATGTTCAGCGACTTTACCGCTCGGCTGCTGTTGGGCAGGACAGTATTCAGAAATGTATGTATATATGTTACGGTGAAACACAGAAATCTGGAGAATGTCGACTTTCACCGGTGAATGTCAACATTCCCATAGTCGCTTGGTGTATGTCCGAAATATTTTCCAAATACTCTTATTTCTGACTTACACCGGTGAATGTCGACATTCACCATGTACTAATGGTGAATGTTGAACATATAAGAATATTATATTTCCTTCTCCGTAATTCATTCGCGAAAAAACGCACTTGAGACCCAGAATAAGAACTTAAGAACATAAGAACTTAAAACACACAGTACATTCAAAATGAGAAAGGAAAATAATAGAAGTTATAAACTTACCAAATTACGTGATTCAAATCTTATTTATTGCAACAACTTAAACTATTATGACACTTTGAATTGGACAAGAGGCCCTTGCTTTCACAACCGCATTTATTTGTGGAACACTTCCTTTTGGAATGGCAGCGTGTACATAGACTCCTCTCTTTTCGACCTACACCAGAGCATATCTGTGATTGTCGACATACACCGGTGAGGGTCCGAATGTACAAGAATGTAAAGAAATATTCGATCTTTCACCGACGTATTTGGTTAGTGTTGACATTCTCCGGTGAAAGTCGACATTCTCCAATTTCGGTCTTTCACGGTAACATATGTACAGAATATACACATGCCTGTATAAGCATATACATTTGTAAATACATGCATATACACAAACATTTCTGAATCTGGAGTATATAACAGAAGAGTACCCAATGCTTTCTATTTTGCCACATCCGCAACTTGGAAATAATAAACATGTCGAAAAGCATTTCCTTTGATACAGTTAATAAAAAAAATTGTGTACTTGTTGTGCATATATGTTAAAGAAAAATATCCATTAATTATAAAAAAATATAAGACGCGTACGAATGTTCGTAACTTTTGGCAAGAGAAGAACAACGTGGGAAGGTAAGAGTAAATAGAATTGTTTTCGAATTACATCATGCAAATATAGACCCACAAATTTTCATCAAATCGAATTTAGGGGTAATAAAAAATGTTTCTGTCCCAATATAAATTTGGAAAATTTTTTTTCTATATTTCTAAAATATACAGGATAAAAAAAAGAATGGCTGATGCTTCTTATAGTAACGTTCTTATTACATTTGAATATTTTTTAAAAAATATCTCATGTGGACACCACATCACTTCCTTGTATGGTCTATTAAATTATACACATTTTTTGCTACATTAAAATTATTCCCTCGAATTTCATTAGAGATATATTTCTCATTCAGTTAATTTAATTCTCATTTCACCCCAACGTAAAAATACATGAAAACTCAAACCGTCCACATTAAAAATTGTAAAATACAGGAAAACTTAGGACTCAAAGTAAAGTTAAAAAAAAAAAAAAAATCTACAATTAAAATTAGAATTTAGATGCAAAAACAAGTAATTCGGCCAGGGAGCAGAAAGACAAACTTTTTGGTGCACAAAATTAAAAGTTTATTTTTGGTTTCACTTTGCAAAAACCCAATAAAGTTGGGGCACAAACTGATTTAATTCACTATTCTGCTAGGAGTTTCAAATGCAAACAAATGGTGACCTCGTTAGGCTTAGCAGCACTTAAAGAACTTTTAAATTGTTGATAATTCTACAACTGTCACATGCAGATTCATTGAAGGCATAAGAACCTTAACCGGAACACAAGAACAACATAATTTAATAACTTTTAAAGCAAAAAACGCACAATTTACGAAAATATAAGTATAAAATGAACTGAGCTTATCAAAGCAGGTAGCAAAGTCGGTATATATACTCGTGTGTGAGCGCGCGATTAGGGCGGCCGCTTGCAACGAAAAAGGGGGGTACACATCTGCATGTTATAGCAGTCCCATATACAAAATTTACCGCTTTGTATCTACTCGTTTTTCAATTATGCGAGATAGGTATGCACATATGTACAGACTTTACGAAAAAAATCTCGGTTAATCTTTGGATTATGGTAACTTAACGATTTTTGGCGAAAATTTGGCGATGAACCCTGCTACAGCAACCTGCTAGTTTTTTTTCGGGGGGGGGACGCCATTCGGTTTTCACGAAGTAAAGGAGGTATTTTTTTTTTTTTTACTCAACATTTTTTTCCAACAATCTGCTAGCCGAATTACGCTTATGCTAGAACTTTTATGGAACAAAAGTGCTTAATCATGACGAACATTAGGTGCGAAATTGGGAGAAAGTGCAGAATCGCCCACTGCTTGCCGCGTTTTTAAGAATGGCACATACACGGTATTCATGTACACGTCGACCTATTTTCACTTAAAAAAAACATCCCAGAATGGCACAAAAATGGCATTGCGCACACTCTTGACTTTATCCATGTTCACTGCTAAAGTCCTAGCTAGTAACCTTTATCGCTTTACCAAAATGTCGCCAAACTACCTGTTACCATATTCCAAAGATTATCCAAAATCTCTTCTGAATCTATTTAAAAGCCGTTTTGCATCCCGTTTTAGGAGGGGAAAAAGCATTCTTTATTCTGTTTGTATTTAATGATATGATAAAAAACATGTTTCAAATGGATTCGAGAGCGGTCGAAATGGATATTTTCGTTAAATGAGATACCCGAAATTTTTCGCGAATACAATACTTCATTTACTTCGTAGAAGGAAGTAGAAATGGAATGATTAAAATAAATTTCATAGCATCAGATTTTTGCTTGAAAGTTTCATAAAACGATAATTTAAAATTTTTAAAATGGCAATTCTCATTTTAATTTTCAACTAGTTACTTTATAGGAGTATAACACAAATTTATACTGGTACTTAACGTATTAGCGCAATTCTGCGATTTTTACAGAAGAAAAGTATGATTACTTATGCATATCAGAACTTGCCTGAAAAAAATTATATGTCACAATTGCCAAAAGATTATTTATTACGTATGAGCTAATTATTATATATTATTAATATGTACACTATAATTTATCTCGAAAAATCTATCAGTGAATCTTACATACGTTTTATTTTCCGCGCTCCTGGGCGAAATTTCATGGCACATGCTTTAAGAATAGACATAAAACAGTTGTTGTTTGTGACATAAAACCCATTAGAGATTTTACCGACGAACGCTAGGTTCTTACTGAAATTATACCTTATATTTCTACGACGCCAACTGAAACTCAACAAACCATACTTTACAATTAAGACAAACTATACCACTGTTTTTGTATAAAAAAATTACTGAAATTATACCTTATATTTCTACGACGCCAACTGAAACTCAACAAACCATACTTTACAATTAAGACAAACTATACCACTGTTTTTGTATAAAAAAATTACTGAAATTATACCTTATATTTCTACGACGCCAACTG